GGCGGAGTCGGAGGTGAGCACCCTTTTTTTTAAGGAATCCGTGCCGGTGCCGGAGTTAGAAAAAGAAAAATTTCGGGACCGGAGTCGGTTTTCGGAGGCAAAAAAGTCGCCACCGCTGGGCTCTAGTGCACAGGCTGACATGGGAGGTTTAGAAGGATATACTTTGGACATTTCTAATACTCTTTTCGGACTATTTGAGGTATACCCAGAAGTATGACTTTGCTTTCGCAAAATATCTTCTTCTTTTTGAAGATGTCCTGTTCGGTAATAGGCATATACTACCGAAACTATAACAAAAAAAATGTATTTGTAATATGTTTGATTTCCTCGAATAAATCTTTGCCAAATTTTTTTTTGTAAACATCGTTTAGACTACGGAGACGAATGCCATAAGGATGTTCCGATAGTAGTGAACGAATGTTAGCAACAGTTTATTCTTCATCATCATCAAAATATTCCTCTTCTAAGTCTTCGTCAATCACATCAGTTCCAGCAGGACTAGATTGTTGTGATAATTCAGTAGAATTTTTATTATTAAGAACTGTTATACGTAATGATTCTGATTTATTTTCAACACGCCGATCATCAAAATAATTTATAGGTATTACTGAACTCGTTGTTGGTGCACCCATTAACGGTTGCATCAGAGAATGTGATGTTGATTTTTGATTATCTTCATACTGTTTGGCAAAACGCCATATGTTTTGAAAAGGATTGATTTAAAAGCTAAATCATTTTTCATATGAATGGGAATAACGCATTACTTATTTCACAAGAAACAACAAGTTTTTTTATTAATGTTTATGATCATTTACAAAAAAGTGGTTGAAGCAAGGAATACGATGACAATGGCTGCAGCAAATGAAAGAGAAGTCATTGCACGCTGGCATAGAACACAAATCTTCGTTGAAAGAAAAACACACATCATGAACACTCTCAAACTGACCAGAATCTTTTGACATATAGCCAGAGTACCACCTAACAAACAAGTGCGACTCATTTATTCTAAGTTATGTCAGGCGCCACAAGAAATAACTCATTAATCATTTTGTCAACTAAAAATTCATTTTTTCTTTTGAAAGTTTTTCTTTTTCTAATAAAAGTATTGATTTTTATAAGCTGGAAAAGAATGGCAACTGGTCTCAAAGAGCCATCAGCATCCTGGCACTTCCTCATCGATGAGATTAACATTTGCAAAACCTGCCCTAGATGGGCATATTCAGCGATGGTTTTAACATATACAAATCCACCAACACAACCAAAAACGACACCAAAAAGAAGACAGAGAAAAAGACGGTCTGAAATAAATAAAGCTATTTAGATTCTAAATACTCTTTTCCTTTCAACTCTATGGAAAAATAACTTAGAATTCTACACGCATTATTTTATTTCATCCCATTACTCTTCTTTCCTAATATTTTCCTAATATAAAATAAGTTTCAAAAAAGCTTTTTTTTGTTTAGCAGAATTTGTTTCAATCAATAGTAAATCCTCGAGGTTAAAAATATCTTCTCTATCCATTCTATACAAAAGGGCTTAAATCCGTGATGCTTAAATCCGCTATTTTGACCGCAATAGTAATAGATGATAAAATTCGGTTGACTTGCTCTCGCGTTATATTGCCATATTTACTGAATTGTCATTTAAGTTTCAAACAAATTGATGTAGTTTTTCCTAATCAGTCCAAGATGTTCTTTGAACTGGATATATTGTTAAAATTCGATACATTGACTCTTGTTCCCTTGTTTACTTCTTTCACATCCATTTATATTCAAAAAAAGATAAATACATTGCCTCGTAGGATGTATTCAATTTCCAATGCATCAATAAACCTAAAAAATGAATACATAATACATAAAATCCGATACAAAATGTATTCGTATCCTGCAACCTATGAGTTAGTGAGGCCTTTTTCAAGGTACTTTTTGATATTTCGGACTCTGCATTTAACCATTCGATGAACTTAGAACGCTTTATCAAGACATGTATATATATACTTTATTCTAGGTTGAGTTCCAGCATGCTGGATACCCACATCTTCATTGCTTATTATGGGTCAATGATCAACCGATAATTGACACGCCGGAAGGAACGGACCATATACTTAAATTTGTTGATGAGTTTCTTACTACAGCATTACCTACTGTTGATGAGGATCCTTTGTTGCATCACTTGGTGAAACTTCATCAGACACATATCCATACTTTTACTTGCAAGAAAGGTATGTGGATAGATATCCTACTTCTTTGCCGTTCGTATTTCTATTTATTTACGTATTGGTAACGTATACATCTAGGACTGAAATCATACTGTGTTTACAAAGGTTATAAAGATGAGCTAATACAAAGGCGGGTACCATGTGGCAAACGTATCAATAATAACAATCTTGTTGCTAAGGAGTCATATGAAGAATTTGTCATCGAGGAAAATCAGGAAAGAGACAATATACTAAAATCGGCAAAAAAGGATTTCTTCGCGAGAGTTAGCTGCAGATTTGGATACAAGCAAGAACTTTCAGCTGCAACACATATGCAAACCTCAAGAGAAAAACATGTTTTAGTTCGCGGTGATCGCGATTTAGTGATCAAAAGATTAACAGAGGATAGTCGAAGAATCGTTCCTTATAGTAAGCATTATTGAAACTGTTTAGATGTAATTATGACGTACAGGTATTGATTCTCTTTTGTCAAAGACGACATGTTATTCAGTTACAATCTAGCTTATTGTGACAGCGAAACAAGAAGAATTGTATGTCGAAAATTAATGACATTCCAATTAAATGATGTTGAATTAGCATTTGAAGATCTAAAAGATGATTCACCTATTGTATTAGGAAATTTGTTTAATTATTGTCAAAAAATTTTTCGATGACGGATATCCCACTTCATCTTTGGAATGTATCTAAGAGATACTGTTCATCTATACCACTTCGAGCAGAAACTGGTGAGGTTTTCTTATTGAGGACGGGTGTCAATCCTGATAGATCTATCAACATGTCTGCCTGTCCGGGTGCAATTGTATTTGCAAGCTTCGAAGTGACAGGTGCAACAGCTGATCGCAGCTTAAGATATGCAGCTTAAAAGAATTTAGAATCTCAGATAGAGTCGGAGACGCAGTTTATAAAACTGAGAAATTGAAGTTTATCTCCTTCTCAAGGAAAAACTTTAAATTTGTAACTTTTTTAAGGAAGGTCGTGGAACCCTGGAAGCGGTCTCATTTGATAGAGCAGACTCTGCTCTACATTAGGATATGTTCAGCTCAAAATCAAAAAATTTTTCAGAAAACAGGGGGTTACTCTTAAATCAGTTATGCTACCTAAAAAAGTTATGACTTCAAAGTTTTTCCTTCAAAAGCAGGAAAAACTCAATTTCTCAGTTTCATGAACTGCGTCTCGGACTCTATCTCAGATTCTATAGACATTGGTCAACATTTGTCAAGATGTGAAAAGATAGAAATATTCCTTGTTTGATACCGCTCTATTATGTGTTTTAGTCGAGTTTGCACAAAGGAAAAGAATAATAGAGTTCGAACAGAGAACATGTGAATACAAGTGAACTATAGAGGAGTCGTTTCGTTCTCAAACAGTACACCTATTCTACACTAAATAAGTCCAATGGTTACGATTTGAATAACCTATCGTTCGATATCTTAACCTATTCGAATAGCAAGTTCAATGAATTTGTTAAAGAAACTTTGGGAGGTGAGGAATTAGATATATTTAAAGTTCAATCAATAAGAAGCGTGCATTCTCTATTACGTACAAAGAACGTTTTTGGTATATTTGATCTGAATTGTGATGAGTTAATTAATATCCAAGAACGCTGTTGTCTCAAATTAAAAGATAACAGTTATGTTATAAAACAAGGTATTATTTCAAGTATCGCAGAATTTGTTGATACATTAAAAGCATTAGAACAAAAACATAAAATATCATTGAAACAAAAACAATTAAATTTACCGATAACGAACGCTTTAAATGAAACATCCTCATCCATAACAACCAATAATACTCAAATACTAACAACAACGATTCCAATATTAACACAACTTGTACCGCTACCTTCTCAATCACCTATGTCAATTTACAATGTCCAACAAAAATATTTAGAAGTAATAACAAATGCGGTAGATAAATGGTGTAATCACGATTTGAATGGTATTGTTAGATGATGATTATATGATTAATTTAGTTCCACCAAATGATAAAGATGTAGTAGCGTCAATAAAATGTGGTTGTGGAACACGTATATTAATTCCATTACGTGCAGATTCATCAACGTTCCATTTATCCAGTTATTATCGTCATTTAAATACAGGCCGTTGTAGAATGATACGTAATAAACAAAAACAAAATAATGTAAGTAAAGATTTAGAACAAAAAGATAAACATGTTGATGAAATTATTGATGAAACTGATGACAACAATGAGATCTGACTGCATGTGTTCATACTAAAGATTATTTCAAAAATCTTTTCCGAACGTAGGTATATCAGAGGATCTTTAGAAAACCAGGTGATTTCCTAAACACGTGGAACACAAATATGTTGGTTTCT